GTGCAGACATCACTTCGAAATTGAGAACCTTTTGTCCCAAACTAAAGGAATCCATATAGGCGCTGCAAAACACTATAGCTTACTAGTGCTTGAACCATTCCTAAACTAGCTGAAAGTGGGTGGTTCAAATAAGCTAACCCCGTAGAGCGAGCTAACCTCCAAAGGTCTTTTGAAATTCCATCCTAGGCTGAAGACATTCAGAAAAACGCATTCAAAAAGCAAACCGCCAATCGTGCGCAAAAACGAAGTCCTAAGTTGAGTTCAAAAATTTTTAATGTTGGATCCTTTCTTGTTTTCCATACCAATATATCTATAAAAATTTTTAATGTTATGTCTTCAACAACTGCTGTACATTGTTGAGCAAGGACTTTTCGAGTAATTTCTTGCAAATTTGTCCCATCGCGTCATCCAGTGTTCTGGGATCCGTCCATTATGAGGAACAAGTTGAGATGGAAATCGCACCTATTCTGTGAAAAGACTGTAAATAACTAGGTGAGTCGAATAATCGCCCTGCTTACCATAACCGAATGCAATGTGACTTTTTATTTCATCTAAAGGTATTCAATAGTTACCACAGGTGCTCACAGCTGTCCTCTATCTACTCGCAGTGAATGCCTCTCCTTCAGCATTGTGCAGTTCTGGACGCAAAGAATGATCGGAGTTCCATTTTGTCTTTGCCATCATCGTGGCTCTTTTTCGTCACAAATTGAGGCGGAAGCGCGGACAATCAAATTATTGCCAGGAGATCATACGAGTGTGATGAGTGGAGGACGAACCAGGAGACTATGTTTCCGTATCATTACCTGACTTAGGTTTCCGACGTTTGTGTGCAAGTTGTCATCGAGTGGAACATTTTAATCTACGAGAAGCTGCAATATCTCGAGATCCTCAACAAGTCTACACAGCTGCAGGCAGCAGATGTCTACGCTAGCAGATGTGTCACCGTTCTGTAGTGAGGCACGCTAGGAACAAAAAAAGGATCCCCTTCTAGATAAATATCGCTTTTCGTAGCTCGCTTCCATTCGGTGTCACACCATTGAAGCCACATTGCGGTAACGTCTTGCGTGTCTTGGTGTCCGAAGCGCCGATTCCTGGGAAACCTGGGTCACATATTTACTCGTGTCCTTTCATCATGTGCTAATTGTGTTGTTTCAGCCTGTGCAAACCTGTTTCGATATCTACAAGGCTTGAACTAGGGCAGTTGCTAAGCACCACTTATTTACAAAAAATCCACGGCTGCTGGTAAACGAGGCGGCTGCAAAAAACAACTGAAGCCGTAATTGAAACTTGCTTTCCTCCAATACTGTAGTTGTTATCTTGAAATTCAAGGAGCAAATCTTCCATTCACCACGTCTTAATTTTTATTGCTACGTAAATTTTCACAGGCTTCTCTCACTGAGTTCCCCAGGAGGGACTTAAAGTCAACAGTTGTGAACATGCTCCGAAACGTACGGTATCAGTGCTAGTTAAAGACAAGTGCAGATCGTCCCGTTCAGTTATATGGAGGAGCGTTAGGGTACCTATACAGCATATTTGCGAAACACCATAAACTTATTTTGGCGAACGGCAGAGGCTAGAAAAAAAGAGGATATTACCTACGACTCTCTTAAGCAGGAAAAGAACGGTAGAAGAAAAAGAAGAAAAGAAGCTCCATTGAGCAGAATTTGAACTGATCTCGTGGATACATACTTGGACGACGTCAACATAGCTGCAGTATCCAGTTTTCGACTACGGGTTGAAAGGACGAAGCATATTGATACTGTTTCAACGAAAAGGTGTATGTCTTACGGGAGAGGTATTTGTAAAGCTGGCTGACGTTCAAAGAGATTGTGTAAGCATTTGGCTTGCAAAAGCTCCTTGGATTCTTGAAGAGAGTCGACTTTATGGCGCATCCCAGAATAGTTCTACTCTAACCTGTGGATAGCAAACGCTATCTGGTCGAGTTGGGCAGTTCAGAAGAAGTGACTTGAAATCAGTGTTTCGAAGCCTTCATAGCAGTACGCCTCGACTTTGATGCAATGTCTCTTCTTTTTTAAGCCTGTTTTTTTACGTTCAGTGAGCTTTTGGGATAAATTTTGAATCCTGAAATTTTGAAAATCCTATTTCAGTTAGTAATCGATTCAATATTCTGTGCACCAGTGAAATTGCTGAAACTTATGCATTTCGTTTATCGATGCTTCCTAGCGATGTTGGGCTGTGATAAGGACTTTGTCACTCTCAACTTACAGCCATGCGAAAGGAGGATCTCTCGTCAATATTCAGAATGTGAACTCTGGAGTGGACCTGTTAGCTGCAATTCTGAATCGCTATGCTGATGCTGTCGATGAGAACGACTTTGTAGTTAGTACCAAAGCTGTTGAGTTGGTTGGCATGCATTCAACATCCAAGAAGCAGAGGTACTCATTAAGACATTTTTTTTTGGTTTTTTTCTTTACATACTTGGTATCTTTTGCCATTTCAGCAACATTTTCGAGTTGAAGCACATTGTGTTGGAAAGCTGTCTCGTCGCGGAACCCCCTCCAGAAAATTGTGCACAGTTCAGAAGATGTGTTTCTTTGAATCTCTTCAATAACCTACTCTCCCGATGGGATGATGTACGAAAAATTCTGAAGTATTTTCCGAAACTTCAAGAACTTGTGCTCAGGTGCTTCAACCATCTATAATAATACTTGTTTTCCAAAACATTTCAGTTGTAAACGTTTATATTTTCTTCTAACATGTTAACGCTCTTGTCAGACCTTCCTCAACTACGCTTCCTTTTCTTTTCAGGAAAAATCGCATGGACCCGGCAGAGTATGGCGAGCAATGGCGAGAGGTTAACTCTCTTCGTGATTTAATTTTGAGTGATTGTGGTTTAACATCGGAATCCGTGAGTTGCCTTTCATGTGAATTCTTCAAGGTTAATCAAAAAAGGTAGATAGGGAAAACTCTCATTGTTTCTTTACCTTCAGATGGTCAACGTTTTGTGCTATCTGCCGAGTGTGAGGAACCTTTATGCTGTAAGGAACAGCCTAACTCGTTTTCGCGTTCCCGATATTGCTGACAGTCTCACCAGCCTCGATATCGCCAATAATCCTATTGCTTGCTTTTCAAATGTAAATGGAAACCTGAAGCGGTACAATATATTGTACTTATTTACCGTAGATTTGACACTTATTTAGAATAGATTTGTCGATGAAACATTTGAACATTGAATGTGTTCACACATACTCGCAAGACATCACTTTTTGCAGTCTTCAAAAGCTGTGTGTCGCAGGCTGTGGCATCGAACGGATCATAATAGCGGACGATCAGTTTCCCTCATTGACCACTCTAAATATTAAGGATAATATCATCTCCGAAGTAGGTTTCTTTTGTAGTGCTGAGGAGCGATGATCTTTTTTGTAAACGCATATGTCTTTTGTTTTCCAGTGGCGATCTATCAATCGTCTGCAAGCACTCCCAATGCTCTCTGTGCTTTATATTGACTGCGAACATCTGAGCTGTGTATCAGGCATCGATGTGCACGAGGTATTTTCATTAAAGTAACTTGTCACTCTATAGCTTTGTTCTTGTTCTTCTTTCATCATCAGACTTCATTCTAATGTTTTGTTTGAACGCTCTTCGTGCCGCCTGCAGTTAAATACAAGAAATATCACCTGTTCTTGACGTCTTGATTCTATACAACGGGTGAATCCTTCTACTGCTCCTTGGTTGTTGAGCGAAGGCATTCAATATAATGACACCTCAATCTTCCTAAAGCAGGAATTTCATTGATTTCTTTCACATACCACTTGTACAGACAACA